CGTCTTCTTGACGTCGCTCTGACGTCATGAAATCCTTGCCGCCTCGGCCGGGTACGGGCAGAGCTCGTGCAGCAGCAGGCGGTCAATGACGTGGGGGGGGAGGCCAGCGCCGCGCCACTCGCGTGCCCTCTCTCACACACACACGCACACACACCCGAAATGCAGACGAGCAGAGACCGAGCGAGGCTGCGCGGAGCAGCGCGCATGCCCGCCTGCGCAGCCTTGCCTTGTGGAAGTCCCACCGTCGCCGCACACACCACACCACACACCATGCCGTACGAAATATTCTTTTCTCTTTCGTCCCTTTCTTTTAGTTTTGTTGTCATCGGCACACGCACGCACTCAGTCAGTGATTCAAAGCACTGCAGTTGTGCGGCATCGACAGTAAATTTAAGTGTAGATGCAGAATTCACGAAACGCAAGCGTGATATTCACGCAAGGCGTGATTTTTCACGCCAGGCGTGATTTTTCACGCTTCGTAAGCATCACACAGCCAATCAGGAACCGACTTTCATCACGCCTGGCGTGAAAATCACGCCTAGCGTGAAAATCACGCTCGCGTTTAGTAAACTCTGTATCCACCTTAACAGTTTCTTTCCTGTTTTTGAGAAGGAGGTTGATGCTTTTAAGTTGCGCAACACTACGTTGTTGATTTACAATCGTAAATGACTGTTTACACAAAATGTAGAAAATTTACTGGATCGTCAATACATTTTTCACGCTCATGCCTAGTGGTTGCGATTTGAATATTTAATTATTCTTTATCACAGAAAATTTCCTATCAAACCGACAATTATTTTCGACAGTGATGTGGAGGAATTACTTCCGGAGACAGCTGGAAGTTTTATGTATGCTTTAATTAGCGCGTAGAGTACTATGTATTCCACTTTGTGTATGCCGACTTTGTGTTGTGCGCGGCGCAGTTGGACGCGCAGCAGTCCATATCAGAGGTCATTCGACACAAACAAACTAGGCGTGTATCATCATTTTATATGGTTTTCCCCCAACCACACAGTTTTATGTAGACCAATCAAAGGGAGATGTCCTCTCGCAAAAACACACCTATGCCAAAGTATCTTGAAATGTTAAGATTTTAATAAAAATAACTATTAGAATAAATTCTGGAAATTCTTCTACTTTTGTTAAAAATTCGACGCCTTAACCACTTCCCAGCGCGCGCGCGTGTGTGTGTGTGTGTGTGAGGGGGGAGGGGGGGGGGCTACACCCTAAGTGGCCTGGTCCAAACTGTCGGACATTGGAAACTAGAAACCTGATCAAACTGTAGAGACGCTTAGGCGCTAAGTGTTCCACTGTATCACGGTCACGTCCCTCACCTACTTTCCTAATTAGCAACTTTTTCGGTGTCGGCTCGCAGCTGATTCGCTATGAGAGAGAGAGAGAGAGAGAGAGAGAGAGAGAGAGAGACAGAGAGAGGGGTGATTTAGGGAATAATCGAATCCAGACTTCCCTGCCTTGGAGTCAGCGATCTTTGGTCGTATAGTGGCACAGGAAATGCGCAGCTGATACAAAATCTTGTCGGGAAGCCGGCCGGCGTTCGCGACGCGTTGATTTTTGACAAAAGCTGCAGAGAGACCCGGTGCTGGAATGTCATGCTCTCGTTTGTCTATTTGGTGCGTGTTTCGTGGTACTTCCTGACTACCCAACCCAACCCTCGACGTGTACTCACCACAGCTGATCTTCTTGTGCTGGCTGACGAGCATGTTGATGGGGGTGCCGCCGGCCGCGGCCCACAGCCCTCGCTGGGGCCCCCGCTGCGGGCCTCGCTGCGCGCCCCGCCCGGGGCTCCAGCCCCCGACCCCCGCCATCCGGCTGGCCATGCGGCTCGCGCCGCGCAGGTAGTCGCCGTGGACGCCCATGGTGGGCTCCCTGTGACCTCCGGCACGGCCTCCAAAACGGCCTCCGGTGTGGGGCCCGGGCCCTCCCTACCGCCCCTGCTCGCGCATCGCGCGACCCAAGTGGGCCCCGAGCGGGGTCCGGGCCCCGAGGAGTCCGCAGTTCCACCTGGCTCGCCCGGCCGAGTCTGCAACGAGAGAACGCAAAACAGTAGGATTAGGCTTAGTGCGGTGGCAAAGGTAGAAATTTACAGCGCCGGTTATCATTCCTAGCATCGCTTACCAACTGCAAAACATCACTTTGTAATTGCAAAGTAAATGCTTCATAATTACAAAGGATCTAAATACTTCGCAGTTCTATTTTTATTTTAACAGTGTACACTGTCATATCGTAATTTTACGCAAAATGTCCTGTTAATTTTTCTACACAATCTCTTCGTTATTTTAAAGTAACGAATACCGCGTGTAACTTTGAATACACAGCAGTGTTGCGGGTTTGCCTACTCTTTACACCCGTAAGGGGCCATGGCCCCTGCGGCCATATTGAGTATGCAATCCCACAACACTGCTGCGTATTCACAGTTACACCCGGTACATTCGGAAAATGACGGACAGTTTGTGACTCGGTTGTTATTGTCCTGAAAGAACGATCCTGGGCACAAGAATTTTTGAAACAAACATTCTTTATCCTAATCAATTGATATTATTAAATCGTGACGTTACGAATGGTTTTTTTATACAGCTATAGCTGTATACGATCAGTTCGTAATCGAAATTGACGAAAAATACTCGTTAATTTCAAGTACAAACCATTCGTGACGGATTATCGTCGTGAAAAGACGAGATTAACTAACAGCGTAAGAAGCTAAGCAAATTAGCCGAAAATAGACAGTTTAATTTCTTTTTCGAGCGGACTATTATTTGAATAAGCGGACCTATTATGTCCCCACGGAAAACAAGCCGGCCCACCCTTCCGCCAAACGGAGTTGCCAGCTACGCTTCGTTGCGCCGGCAACTCCGTTCGGCAGGGGCGCCGGGCCTGTTTGGCCTGCCGGCGGTGACGCGACGGTCGGGCCTGCGGCAATTTGCTGAAGAACATAATCAAAAATATAGCGTTATATATCCGTTAAAACCTGTTGTCCTTAAAATTTTCCCCTTAGACATGAGAAAGGAATGTAACGGTGAAGCGCACCGTGACTACAACCTACAAAACCTTTTTTTCAGGGGGGGGGGGAGGGTTGTTTTTTCCCACTTTGTGATTTGAGGCCTTCTTCTACAACTTAATGCTCACTACAGGAATTTTTAGCCCCCAAACGGTGAGAGATAGAGCCAAACGGACAAAATTTTAGTCGAAAGGACTTTCACGAGTTTCCCCTTAAGAGATCGTAATAAAATACTTTTTTCTAACTTTTTTGATCCACCCCCTTTTCTTTGATACCCCCTTTCAGCTCCGTAGGGTTGGTTGCCAGGATTTTCCGTAGGCGTTTCGTTTTCTAGGAGTGAACCTTAAGATACCCTGAAAATTTATAGGCTCTAGCACATCCTCTTCTAGTGGAACAGACGGAGAGACAGACAGACACGAGGTCGTTGGAATAAGCCCGCTAGATAGCTTTTCTAAAGCAGAAGGGAGGGCTAAAAAAAAACACTTTTGTTGACCCAACTGAATATTAGTAGTAAGAACGTGTTCATCGCAGAACAGCCAGCTAAATTTTCAGCTCTTTTATGTAAAATGTTTGATGAGTTAGCATATTAGTCACTTCAACTAAACTTTTTTTGCCGTGTGGATCCGATATTACAAAACCCTTAAACCTGGGACAATTATTGTCAATATCAAGGAAAATATTTAAATATTTTCGTTACAAATATTATGTTTTGTTGTATTGGAGTGTCAGACCCCCTCGCTTGACGTCGTATAACGTGCCCAGTCTCTCTGATCCGCAAACAAGCGAACGGGAATACCGTTTGAAGACCGAACAAAACTGAACAAACAAGTCATATCCGCTCTCCTCCGTGCGTCTTCTTGACGTCGCTCTGACGTCATGAAATCCTTGCCGCCTCGGCCGGGTACGGGCAGAGCTCGTGCAGCAGCAGGCGGTCAATGACGTGGGCGAGGGGCAATCTGGAGCCCGCCGTGCCAACAAGACACTAACGACTATCGTTATTAACGGTGTACCGGACCTAAACTAACCCTGGCGACGTGTCGCTCCCTCGTATGGTGGCATCCTTAGACAGGGCGAGGCAGGGAACGCACTCAGCACAAGTTGAGGGGTCAACAACACTCCGTGAACCCTTCATAAGTTCTAGACTTCGAGCATTGGTAACTGTTCAAAAGTTGCCTCGTTTAGTCAGCCGCGTACTTGAATGTGGTTGAATCTTAAAGCTGCTGCACAGTTAGGAATTACATCGTGATTTCTGTTAATTTTGGTACATAGACTCTTCACTATTTGAAAGTAACACATACACTCGTAAGATAGCGAACAATTTGAAACTTGGTTTGCATACTATACTGAAACAATGATCCCGGACACTATAATTTTAGAAACAAACTCTGACTTCCGCATGAATTAATACAGACAAATCGTGATATTACAAAGACAGTTTGAGTTTGTACCACTGCACAAACACTTCTTACTTAAAATTAACAAATAATACTCGTTCTTTGCAATTGTGAACTATTCGTGACAGATTACTGAAAAAATAACAAATTAATAAACAATCTGATCTCCAAACTGGAAAGATTTGCACATCAAAGATAATATACCCGGGGACAAAACTCTGATTTTAAATGTTTATGCTGTATTTCATAACATCTAAAGAGGCGCACCAGACTTCTAACGCTTTATATGCGAAAGACGTCTCTTCGACGTCATTTCGACTTGCGCTCGCGTGTTTGTTGCGTCCTGAGGGGATTTCCCTTGGTAATGAATATCACGGCGGCTAGATATGATCTGTGGAGAGACCGCAAAGACCGCAGTGAGTTGGCGTCCACTTTTCATTAGCGTCCACTTTAGGAAAACAAAACGCAACCGCTGGCTCTCCTCCTCCTCGTCTCGAACGAACGCAATAATGTGGAAAATATTTGTTCCGACTCGCAGCAGGTGACGCCGGGGATCTTTCGAATTTTGTACTGTACATCTACTTCAGGACTGTACTGTGTCGGAGGGGGAAACGACTGTTAAACTTTGTGTCAGCCGGATTACAGATTACCCGTATTACCTCTGGAGTATCCTGGAGTGCCCCGGATTACCCTGAAATTTCCCCGTATTGCCTCCGGACGAGGGTCCCCCCCTTTCCAAGTGGGTGCACAACGAGTTGAGCGAATATCCGCGAGTATCCGAGAGTTTAAACGAGTATTAGCGAGTATCCACGAGTATTTGAGAGGTGTCGCGAGTTATTCACGAGTTATCGCGAGTATCTTGTGAGTATTTTTCCTTGTGTACAACGAGTTGGCAAGTGGGGGACCCCTCTCCCCCGGATTACTTCGAATTTACTCGGATGAGTACACCTGCTGGATGACCTAACGGCTGTCAGCCGGATTACCTTCGTCGTTTCCCCCTCGACTGTGTCTGATCTGGCTGTCGTCAAAACTATCGTTGTACGTACGGTGTCAAAATGTACCCAGTGTCTTTAATTACACAATCTATGATGAAATTTTACAGTTTTTGTTTAACAATCTAGACAGTAGTACACTGCTTTTAGTGTAGACTTTTACAGCGTAACGCGAGTGGAGTGGAAGGGGAGGAGGGGCGTGGTGGAAGCTCTCCAGGAGTCGCTTCCTCTAGAAGTTTTGTCAACTCGCTGATGCCATACAATCTCACAGGACAAAGGGAAGGGGTCGGACAGTCCGTCCCGGCCAACAGATCGGATCCGGATCCGCCCCCTGCCAATAAAAGGCATTATTTGGTGGTCGGCGGACTCCCGATCCGGATCCTCTGGTGCATGCTGGGCCACAATGCTTATCCCCCGCGTGCTCGCCGTCTTCCTGATGATGATCACGGACGCGGTGCCGGCGCGTTCGGCCCGGCTGGCGGCCGGTTCCAGTCCCGTTTAGGCTGTATCACCTTAACGGACATAACAGATAACAGCCCTATCTTACACAGGTTATTCCTGCCCTCTAATGTTTCAAATGTGTTTCAATGATATTTTGCAATAAAAGCTTCTTTAGTGGGATAAGCCATGACTAAACAGCATGAATAACCTTCCTGAAATGGATCTGTTATTTGTTATCTGTTACCTGTTATTTTTTAAGGTGATACAGCCTTAGGGGTTCTTCCCATACTAAGTGATCTCTATGGGGTATAAATATTATAGGGTTTGAAAATGTATCAGACGTATCATTGGAGTGCATAGGGACCCCATGCCATTTTTATCCCGGAGTACAAATACCATGCGGTCCTGGAACTCAATAATAATCCTGACACATTTTTGGTTCCCCTATAGTATTTGTACCCCTCCTCCTACTGTGGTCACGTAGTATGGGAACGAACCCTTAGACATGAAGAAGGAAGACTATGTAGTGCCCGTCCCGCCGGCACGCCTACGGCACGCCTAGAGGCGCACAGCAGCACGCGACCCGCCCACGACAGGACAGCGTGCGACAGGCCGGGCTGCCCGTGGCATTGGACTTGAGTCGTCACACGCGGATGCATCGCCGAGCTCCCCTTCCTGACTCTACTCCTCCTCCTGGTAGTCGTCATCTTCCCCGGGCGTCATTGCCCTCTCCGTCGACAACGCCCTTTTTGGACGACGTTATTCCGAACAGCATTTAAGACGTCCTCACGTCACACCCTCACCGATTCTCCCTTCGCACTCACGTTTCTATGCAGCAACAAAAATACCGGCCGTGAATTTCGCAGTCATCTACAGTGAATTTCACAGTCATCTACACGGTGAATTTCACAGTCATCTATAGAGTGAAGCGCAGCTCAGTTACAGGTTAATTTTCACTGTAGTGAGAATATGTCTCCAGGTCCAGGGAGCATGACTGTTAACTTACAGCATTACGCACCGTCACCGTAGCTTACGCTGTTCACCGCATCTTCCAGTGTACATTTTGCAATACTATACATTTCATAAAAATAGGCCAAACAGATTCTTTTTCAAAAAAACCTAATTAGATTTAAATAAAAACTGAAATAGATTTTTTGTGAAATTCTGTTGTTGTTTTCAGGGCAACTGTGTGCCTGTG